GTCAGTCTCTTTAACATGCCTAGACAACTTCTTATAGAATTTCTCTGCCTGTGTGATTGGACCCCCCGCAGACTTTCCTTTCAGGATGAAAGACACAAGGAGGTCTGTACTCCGCTGTCAGATGACGTCTCATATATGATAATCCCTTTCATCTGCAAAGAGAACCTGTCATGATGGACATAAAAGGGATTCGTCACTGTGGACTGATTTTTGATGCTTCAGGCTCCGGTGTTGTGATCTTTTCCCCTCGTATCTCTGCTTACCGAGTCACCATCACCAAAAAGGTGAATCCACACAGTAAGCGCTCAGGATCTGCAATGTACACATACTGCATATGTTCCAGGCCATGTAATGCACACATACATATATGTCAGGATATTTAATGTACACATACTGCATATGTTCCAGGCCATGTAATGCACACATACATATATGTCAGGATATTTAATGTACACATACTGCATATGTTCCAGGCCATGTAATGCACACATACATATATGTCAGGATATTTAATGTACACATACTGCATATGTTCCAGGCCATGTAATACACACATACATACATGTCAGGATATTTAATGTACACATACTGTATATGTTCCAGTATGGTTGTCACCGTGCATCTGCAGGCCGCAATGAACCAGAACACACAAGTCAGAGAAAAGCTCGGACTTTATAATGAAGCCAGAGGACCAGCATGACAGCCAGTTGGCATTTTCTAACGGAGAGGTCAGCAGTCAGCCTCCATTTCTCTTATGACATGACTGAATTCCAGGAAGGACCCCGACAGGGGGGGATCCAGAGTCTAGTCTCAGGAGGGGCACTGCCAGAAAATAAGGCGTTGCTTACAGAACAGAATATTGCAATAATACATTACGTTGTAGATGCCATTACACATCAGCAGGGCCGGCCTTAGGGGTGTGCGAGCAGTGCGGCCGCACAGGGCGCCATGGCAACAAGGGCGCCGTGCGGCCGACACAGCTCATCCTGGGGGCGGCTTCTCTCCCCCTCACCGCTGGGCGCTGGCCATCCGATATGTCAGTGCGAGCCCGGGACCAGCATATGGCCTCTGTCACAGGGGATCAGAGGGAGGTCGGTACACGAGCTCCCTCCGGTCCCCTCTCCCCTCTACGCTGCAGAGAAGCAGATGAAGCAGATCTTTGCTTCATCAGCTTCTTCAGGGGGGTCCTAGGTGACCCCTGATGTCTCCATAAAGAGGACCGGTCACTTTATTGCTATCACATAGGGGGGTTAGAAAACCCCCTTATGTGAGCGCAAAATATGTTTCCCCCCCAAAAAAATGTAAAGTTACAAATAAAAAAAGAAGAAGAATTACATTTTTTTTAAAGTCCCCCCATACATACATACATACTTACACGCATGCAAACAGGCGTTGGGTGCGCATACGTGTGAAAACGACGATTTCATCCATTACGCCGCACATGTTACATATCACCGCGAACGTCGGAATGAGAGCAATAATTGTAGGGCTAACAATCACTGATAACACTAAACTGATGAGCGGTAAAAGCTTTTAAAGCGTCACCTATGGTCAATTTTGGACATGGTCATTTTTTGCGATTTTGTGGGTGCGCGCAATTTTAAAGCATGACATGTTTGGTGTCTATTTACCCGACGTGACCCCGTCTTTTTATATTTTACCAAAAATATGGGTGATAAATGGGTGTGGTTACTGGGGTGTGGCCACTAAAGGGTGTGGCCACTGAGGGGTGTGGTCACTGAGGGGCGCTGTAAAGCTTTCTCGCACAGGGCGCCTGAAGGCCTAAGGCCGGCCCTGCACATCAGTGCCTGCTTTTCGGGCCGGTCAAGAAAAATGCTGCTTGCACTATTTTTTTCTGACCGCACCGGACCAGAATGCAGGCATTGATGTGCCGCGCATTCCAGTGTGGGCGATCGCACTGCAGCCGGAGGGCGTGGCTGTGGTGCCACTGCCTTCAATGCATCGCCCACGCCCCATAACAAAGTGAGCCGGCCGGGATGTGATCCAGTGCGTTCGGGCCGGAAAGCGCTGGGGCTGGTGTGGACGAGCCCTAACAGCAATCGTGCCTTTTTTTCTGCACATCCTGACACTTGTGTGTTCAGGAATAGAATTCCTGCCAACCATTTGGCACATTACGGTCATTAAAATGGGTCTGTCATCCACACTGCACATTAACATGTACAGCAAAACATTATAAAGCAATGCAGAATAATACCGTCAGCTATAGAGGACTACAAATCCCAGCAATGCATTATACAGCAATGCAGAATATCGTCAACTATGGAGGACTAAAAACTCCAGCAATACTTTAAACAGGAAAATACTGTCAGCTATAGAGGACTACAAATCCCAGCAATACATTATACAGCAATGCGGAATATCGTCAACTATCGAGGACTACAAATCCCAGCAATACATTATATAGCAATGCAGAATAATACCGTCAGCTATAGAGGACTACAAATCCAAACAATGCATTATACAGCAATGCAGAATAATACCGCCAGCTATAGATGGCTAGAAATCTCAGCAATCCATTATATAGCAATGCAGAATAATACGGTCAGCTATAGAGGACTACAAATCACAGCAATGCATTATATAACAATGCAGAATAATACCGCCAGCTATAGAGGACTACAAATCCCAGCAATACATTATACAGCAAAGTTCATGTGTGTGTAAAGTCAGGCGTCCCAATACTTTTGGCAATACAGTGTGTGTGTTTTTCCAACTTTTTGGGAGTTTTAAACAAAAGCTGAAATCCGCCGGCCGATATCGGTTTCCTCCTTTCAATGCCCTACTCTCGTATGTTGCTCGGGTTGGATTGATTGTATCCAGTTCCGGATTTCATAAGTCGTGGTGATGTAACCCCACCCCTCCACGAATACATAAATCCTGACACACCGGGAAGGTGAAAGCGAGATGGTACTTGTACTCCGGCTATTTTTAGCTCTGGATTTCCATATGGGAGCCGGTGGATTATTTTATAGTCCTGGGCGAGGTCAATACCTGCATTTTCACCTTGTATACAATGTACCGAAGCCTGATAAGACGGGAAAGACAACACAAGGTCCCTGCAATGTGCACCGCTTACATAAAGATGCATGTGCGTGTTCAGGTGTGACGGGCCTGGGCACACGAATGACACTTCCAGCAGTTTAAATGCCCCCCTGCCCCCCACCCCCGTCATAGATTGGGGGACACCCGGCCTGCAGATTTACATGGACAAGCCGCTGGTGTTCCCACATTAGGGAGGTCACGCCCATTGTTTGCATTACAAGGCAAAGTGTACAACCTTCCAAAAAATGTCTTCGTTCTGGATAGAGCGAGGGTTAAAAGCAAGAAGGTCCTTAGGACCACGGCTTCACCAGACAGGAAGTGAGGGAAGATCTCCAATAGCAACACAGTTGAGACGCTTTTCTTTAAGAGTAGAGAAAGGTTGTCCTGCTGATTTTTCCATCACTTCCTGTCTGGTGAAAGTTAGGACAGGAAGTTACCCACTCTGGCTGAGCAACACTTCAATTTGAGAGCCCAGGGTTCAGGTTAACTTAAATATATCCCCCAATAGCCACAAAAAGTATACAATTCCACTTTGTGAGCAGCAGTGATTGGTCTTTATTGCAGGAGGGGGGCGGAGACAAGACCAGTCACCCTGCACAAGGAGAGAGAGCAGCAGTGAGCAGGTAATATGCTTGCAGCGGAACCTCCTGGATGGGCAGGCATTTTTAGATCTTGGTTTAGGCCTTTTCTGCGACTTTGGGAAGAAGGTGGCCAAGTGAAGAGTCTTAGGGGTCATCGTGGTCAGCTCCCAGCCTATGTTGCGCCGTGCCTGAAATTATTGCGGCAGTGGCGATTGTGGGCTGAAGATCTCAAGTCTGCTCCGAGGAAAGTCCTTATGAGCCGTATCTTGAGCGAAGCCTTTCATGGCCCACTGGCCTTAAAGGGATTGCCCAGGCCCAATTTTGAGGGAAGGGTTAAGATTGATTAATATGGACAGGGTGCCACTTAAATTCAGGGATCTAGCCTGGATGTGCTTCCATGGGAAGCTCTATGTTGGGGGCAATTTGAAACACGGCAGTGAGTCGGAACGTGGTTGTCCGCGAGAGGAGTGTGCGGGTACGGTGGAGACCATGGACCATTTTCTGCTTCATTGCCCCTTTAACATAGAGGTATATAAACAGGTGGGGCGGGGCCTCGGTGTTCCTTTCCTCTCTAGGCTGAGTTATGCCGAGTGGGTGTACGGAGCATTCAATGCTGGAGGGGTTTTTGTTTGGATACACTTTTTTTAGTCAGCCTAGTGGTCCGTTATTTCACGTGGAAT